CAGTGGCTGTAGCTGCACAGATCTGAAGCCAGGAGTTCTTCCATGTTACCCACATGGGTATAGGGGCCCAAGGACTTGGGCCTTCTTCTTCTTCTTTTTTTTAGAAAGCTTTTTTTTAATAAATAGACATTTCATATCCCCATACCCGCCCTCCCACCCACACTCACTCTCCCATTCCATTCTTCATTAAGATTCATTTTTAATTATCTTTTTTTAAAAGATTTTTTTTTTTTTTTTTTTTGACAGGCAGAGTGGACAGTGAGAGAGAGAGACAGAGAGAAAGGTCTTCCTTTGCCGTTGGTTCACCCTCCAATGGCCGCCGCGGCCGGCGCGCTGCGGCCGGCGCACCGCGCTGATCCGATGGCAGGAGCCAGGAGCCAGGTGCTTTTCCTGGTCTCCCATGGGGTGCAGGGCCCAAGCACTTGAGCCATCCTCCACTGCACTCCCGGGCCACAGCAGAGAGCTGGCCTGGAAGAGGGGCAACCGGGACAGAATCCGGCGCCCCGACCGGGACTAGAACCCGGTGTGCCGGCGCCGCTAGGCGGAGGATTAGCCTAGTGAGCCGTGGCGCCGGCCAAAAGATTTTTTTTATTTATTTGAAAGTCAGAGTTACACAGAGAGAAGTCTTCCACCTGATGGTTCACTCCCAAATTGGCCACAACTGCCGGAGCTGAGCTGATCTGAAGCCAGGAGCCAGGAGCTTCATCCGGGTCTCCCATGCGGGTACGGGGGCCCAAGGAATTGGGCTGTCTTCTGCTGCTTTCCTAGGCCAAAGCAGAGAGCTGGATTGGAAGTAAAGCAGCCAAGTCAAAATCGGTGCCTATATTAGGATGCTGGTGCTTCAGGCAAGGGCGTTAACCCATTGCGCCACAGCACCATCCCCTTTAATTATCTTTATGTACAGAAAACCAACTCTATACTAAGTAAAGATTTCAACAGTTTGCATCCACCCAGATACACAACGTCTAAAGTACTGTTTGAGGACATTACTGTTAATTCTCATAATACAACTCATTAAGGACAGAGGTCCTACATGAGAAGTAAGTGCACAGTGACTCCTGTTGTTGATTTAACAATTGACACGGTTATTTATGTCTGTCTGTCTGCCTCTCAAATAAATGTTAGAAAAAGGAATACGTGGCCAGCGCTGCTCTCACTTGGCTAATCCTCTGCCTGCGGTGCCGGCACCCCAGGTTCTAGTCCCGGTTGGGGCGCTGAATTCTGTCCCAGTTGCTCCTCTTCCAGTCCAGCTATCTGCTGTGGCCTGGGAAGGCAGTGGAGGATGGCCCAAGTCCTTGGGCCCTGCACCTGGATGGGAGACCAGGAGGAAGCTCCGGGCTCCTGGCTTTGGATCGGCGCAGCACGCCAGCTGTAGCAGCCATTTAGGGGTTGAACCAACGGAAGGAAGACCTTTCTCTCTGTTTCGCTCTCTCACTGTCTAACTCTGCCTGTCAAAAATAAAAATAAAAGGAATACTTGTGCTATATGGGAACAGATTATTGCAATCCCAAGGTTTTTTTTTTTTTTTTTTAAGATTTATTTATTTGAAAGAGTTACACAGAGAGAGGAGAGGCAGAGAGAGAGAGGTCTTCTCTGTCCACTGGTTCACTCCGCAATTGGCTGCAACTGCTGGAGCTGCGCTGATCCAGAGCTAGGAACCAGGAGCTTCTTCTGGGTCTCCCCAGCGGGTGCAGGGGCCCAAGGACTTGGGCCATCTTCTATTGATATCCCAGGCCATAGCAGAGAGTTGGATTTGAAGTGGAGCAGCTGGGACTTGAACTGGCACCCATATGGGATGCTGGCATGGCAGGCGATGGCTTTACCCACTGCACCGCAATGCCGGCCCCCCAAAATCTAAAGTTTTCAAAAGAGGTGTGAGTTCATATTAGGATGAACTGGAATGAGTGGAATTTTTTTCCCTAAATGAGGCAGATGACAACGATGACCCAGAGTATAATTTCCTGGAAGATCTTGACGAACCTGACACCGAGGATTTCCGTACTGATCGGGCAGTGAGAATTACCAATGAGTCTGTTTATGATGAGGCCTGCTCTTGACGGCTCCCCATCTACTTTTGTTTACTTTCTAGATTTTTGGGTGTGAAATTTATGATTAGGACCTTTCTTCTCTATGCAGTTATTCCCATAATTCTTTCAATTTAGGTTATATTCAGAAAGCTTGTCAGGTTTTCAGTTGTACATTCCACAGTGATTTATTGAGTTCTTACTGCTTGTTGTGGATAATACTTGGGATACTGAGAGAGAGGTCTTCCATCTGTTTGTTCACCCCCCAAGTGGCCGCTACAGCTGGCACTGCGCCGATCAGCAGCCAGGAGCTGGGTGCTTCCTCCTGGTCTCCCACGTGGGTGCAGGAGCCCAGGCACTTGGGCCATCCTCCACTGTCCGCCCGGGCCACAGCAGAAAGCTAGACAGGAAAAGGAGCAACCGGGACTAGAACCCGGCGCCCATATGGGATGCCGGCGCCACAGGCGGAGGATTAGCCAGGTGAGCCATGGCTCTGGGCCCAGGATTTTGATTTAGTAGCAGTTTAATATGTTTTTTTGGATGGATAAAGTAAGACTAGGGGCATAGAAAACAAATTTTAGGATAAGTTGACTTGAGTAATGTTATAAAAGATTATATTCTTCGTTAATGTGCCAGTTATGGAAAACATCCAAGTATGTTTCAGAAATAACTGATTTTAGTGAGTAGATACACTGATTTTATTGAGTGTGTGCATGTACTAGAGCAGTGTGCGAAAAGTGGAGAAGATAAGATATTGGGTCTTGACCAGGTTATGGACCGAGAGTATTTCATAAACATTTACAAGTATTTACTGTCTTTGTAAGGAATGAATTAAGTTTCAGGTCTTATTTAGACTAACTTTTTATTTTTTATTTTTAAGATTTATTTATTTGTGAGGCAGAGTTACAGAGAGACAGAGACAGAGAAAGATCTTTTATATGCTGGTTCACTAGCCAAATGACTGCAACGGCCAGAGCTAGGCCACATTGAAGCCAGGAGCCAGGAACTTCATCTGGGTCTCCCACGTGGGTTCAGGAATCCAAGAACTTGTACCATCTTCTGCTTTCCCAGACTAATTAACAGGGAACTAGATTTGAAGTGGAGCAACCAAGTCTTGAACTGGTACCCAAATGGGATGCCAGCATTGCAGGTGGTGGTTTAACTAGCTGTGTCACAACGCTGGCGCCCAGACTAATAGTTTTTAAGCTGAGTGTCCTTTCCATGAATTTAAGAAAGTGATATTTTTAGGGGCCAGCACTGTGGTCCAGAGGATTAAAGCCCTGGCCTGAGGCACCGGCATCTCATATGGGTGCCAGTTCTAGTCCTGGCTGCTCCTCTTACAATCCAGCTCTCTGCTGTGGCCTGAGATAGCAGTGGAGGATGGCCCAAGTCCTTGGGCCCCTGCACTCGCATGGGAGACCCAGCGGAGTCTCCTGGCTCCTGGCTTTGGATTGGCGCAGCTCCAGTCGTTGCCGCCATCTGGGGATTGAACCATCAGATGGAAGACTTCTCTCTGTCTCTGTCTCTGTCTCTGTAACTCTGACTTTCAAATAAATGAAATAAGCTGGCGCATGGCTTACTTTGTTAATCCTCCGCCTGCGGCGCCAGGCGTCCCATATGGGCGCTGGGTTCTAGTCCTGATTGCTCCTCTTTGGTCCAGCTCTCTGCTGTGGCCTGGGCGGGCAGTGGAGGATGGCCCAGGTTGCTTGGGCCCGTGCACCCGCTTGGTGGACCAGGAGGGGGCACCCAGCTCCTGGCTTCGGTTTGGCACAGTGCTGGCCGTGGCAGCCATTTGAGGAGTGAACCAACGGAGGGAAGACCTTTCTCTGTCTCTCTCACTGTCTAAAACTCTACATGTCAAAAAAAAAAAAAAAAAAAAAGATATTTTTAAAATGCTAAACGTAGGACTTTAGATTTGTCCCCCTATATTTTGTACTGTTAACTGGAGAAAATGAAATGTTTTTGTTTTTTAAGAAAATTTAATGCAGAGTTAGAGAGAGAAAGAGGAAGAGATCTTCCTTCTGCTGGTTCACTCCCCAAATGACTGCAACAGCTGGGTCTGGGCCAGGCTGAAGCTGAGATATAGGAGATTCAGCCAGGTCTCCCACAGGGATGCAGGGGACCAAGGACTTGGTTCATTCTCTGCTGCTTTTCCCAGGTGGATTAGTAGGAAGCTGGATTGGAAGTGGGGCAGGTGGTTCTCTACCATCTCCACCTAGTGCACATACGGGATGCTAGCATTGCAGGTGGTGGCTTAACCCATTATGCCACAATCCTAGCCCCATGAATCTGACATCAGTTGGAGTGGCAATCCCTTTCTGCTTTATTTCTTTATCATGTATTAGAAAGTCAATTGATGGGGAGAGGGAGGGAGGGAAAGAGAGAGAGAGCCTGTGTGTGCAATAGAGCAATCTGCTTTCCAGGTTGCTTATTAGCAGGAAGCTAGATTGCAAGTGGAGGCAGGACTTCATCCAGGAACTCTGATATGGGATGTGGGCATCCTCCAAGCTGTGGCTTAACCCTCTGGGCCATAATACCTGCTCCCTCTTCCAGCCTTATATCATCTACAGATTTGATAACGTGTGTTTCCTGGGGCTTCTAAGACACTGATACTGTGTTACGTATTTCAGGTCCACAAATGTGATCCTTTGATACACTGTCGAGACTTGTCTTTTGATTCTGTTTGGTACTCCGGGTTTGTACAGGCCAGCCAACAATGAGTGGATTGAGCTGTAAAGTCATCTAACCCACGTGTTCTGCATGTCTTTCCACTGGAGCTTGGGCTTAGTGAAAATAGTGCTGTCTCCTCTTCTGGTGTATCCCACATATCTAGAACAAAGATTGAGACATGGTTGCTATTCAGTAAATGACTCTGTCAAATGCCTTGCTGAGAACATTTTTGTCTCTATAGTGTTCCCCCTTATTGCAAAATGAAACTAATTTGTGCCAACAGCATACTCTATGGCTTTTTTGCAGAAAAGGAAGCGGAAGAGCTGTTTGAAACTGTGAGTAATGCTTTTTGAGTGAGAACATGGGATGGTGAAAGTAGATTGTCCAGCAAATTCTGTCCTTTGGTCCTGGGCTCCTCCCTCCAGAAGGGTGGTCTAACTGAGCTGTTGCTCTTTTTATCCACTCAGGAAAGAATATAGTGGCAAGAGAACATTGCTAATTAGAACACTCTTGATTATTTATATGTAGATTATTATTTTTTAGAGATTTATTTATTTGAAAGAGTTATAGAGCTAGAACGAGAGAGATCTTCCATGTGCTAGGTCACTCACTACCCATATGGCCTCAATTGCTGGGCCAGGCTGAAAACAGGAGCTAGGAGCTTCTTCAGGTCTACCATATGGGTGGCAGGGGCCTAACCACTCGTTCGATCTTCTGCTGCCTTCCTAGGCCATTAGCAGGAAGCTTTATTGGAAGTGGGGCAGCTGGGGTAAGACCAGTGTAGTACATATGTGATGCTGGTTGTGGCTTTACTCACTATGCTAAAACAGCAGTCCCAAATGTAGATTATTCTTAGTAAAAATTTTCCTTGTAAACTTTGGATAGGCTCTCCAATCATTTATTCATCTGTGTAATCTAGTTTTAGATTGCTCTGAGCCCAAATAGTTAGCTTTTTGGTTATATTTGCCTCTTGACAGGTATTTCTGTAAGAGGTTGATTTTTATTTTTACGTGAATTTTGTCCTTACTGTTGCACATGCTTTGCTGAAAGCCTTTTTTTCTGGCTTAACATTTATCTCAAGTGTGGGTTTGCTGGAGTCCTGATCTTAGGTTCTAATGTAAGTTCTCTCTGGGTAGCAGAATGCTTAGTTTTGTAATCTAGTTTTCAGTTCCCCTTGTCACTGGTGGAAGGCCATTCTCTAAAAAAAGGCTCCTTTTCTTCCCCCACAGTTCCAAGATGAGATGGGATTCTCCAACATGGAAGATGACGGCCCAGAGGAAGAGGAGCACGTGGCTGAGTCTCGGCCTAACTTTAACACCCCTCAAGCCTTACGGTAGGCCAGCCAAGGACCTTGAGACGTAGAATTCAGGAAACGGTGTTCGTGAAATGCAGTAACACGTTCCCATCATCAAGGCGCTTCTGTGGTGATGTAAATATGCAGAGTCCTGTGGGAAGTGAGGAGTCAGGCAGAGAGTCTCCTTATTATGGGACAGTGCGGCTGTAGACCAAGCTGTGTCTGTTTGGGAAGGGAGAAAGAACAGTAGCTGGCATCCAGAGCAGCTTCTCCAGATGAGTGTGCTGGAGAAGTGTGTAGGACTGTGTGGCCAGCCACAGAAACCACCCCAAGTCAGAATATCCAGCGTGTCCCCTTTTTGGCCGTGTTTGTCATGAGCATCAGGGGAATGTTACTGATGGTTTGTCAGTCACCTTGGCATCAGTGGGGCCTGCAGTGATGCTCCTGGAGTCTGAGTCTCGTGTTGTTGACGTGTCTGTTATGTCAGCTGTAGAGCGAAGGCTGTAGTCTTTCTCCCAGTTACTGTGGAGCATTTGTGTCTGTTCTTTAATCTGTTATGGTCCAGTGTGACTAGAGGGCGAGATGTAGTTTGTGCTGCGGGTGGCACACAGCAGTTGGCAGAATTGGGGTTCATGGTGAAAGGACATTGTGCAGGCTGTCTCAGCACACCGTTTGAAGGCGTAAGATGTGTTGTGGACTTAAGGAAATCTTCGTTTATCTCCTTTTGGGGGTAGGTTTGAGGAACCACTGGCCAACTTGCTAAATGAACAACATCGGACTGTGAAGGAGCTCCTCGAACAGCTGAAGATGAAGAAATCTTCAGCTAAGCCGCAGCAGGAGGTAGAGAGGGTCAAGCCTCGGGCTGAGAAAGTTCCTCAGACTCTGATTCTGGACCCAGCACAGAGGAAGAGGCTGCAGCAGCAGATGCAGCAGGTGAGACTCTCCTTGCTCATGTGTGTATGGATTATCGCACTAGCTTTTGACACTGAAGTCCAACGTACGCAACCTCGTAAAAATGACAGGCGGGTGTCTTGCTACCCTTGGAAGCTGTGGACCCTCGAATGTTGACATCTTAATCACCCAAGAGTCATCATGTTTGTGCCCTTGTGGCTCAGGCAAGAAATTCTGATGGTATTCAGAATTACAGACTTTTAAAGAGTCCTTTGTAACCCATTCTGGAATGGAAGAGCCTCACTGCCAGAGGTGGTGTTTGCTTCCGTCTAACTCATTCGTTCTGGGTTTGTCATTTGGCTTAAGGAAACAGTGTCTTGGAGATTGATGCCAAGATCCTTTGCTCTGGTGGGCTCTCCAGAAAGCAAAATGTGCGATACAGTTGCAGGTGTCTTAGGAAGAGCTCCCTGGTTCCTGAAATGGCAACGGCGCGTCACCTTGTTTTTTTTTCCCTCCCCAGCATGTTCAGCTCTTGACGCAAATCCACCTTCTTGCCGCCTCCAACCTCAATCTCAGTTCAGAGGCCAGTACCACCAAGATATTTCTTGTAAGCTTCCAGATATCCCTAATGATAAATTAATTTGAGTATGAATTCAGGTTGGCAGGGGTGGGCTTTGTGGCAGCGTGGACAAAGCCACTGCTTGGGATGCATCTTAAACCTTCGTTCTGCCCTGGGGAGTGGACAGTGCATCCACAAACTGAGGACCAGTCAGTCCAATAAAACAGAAGTGAGTGAATGCATCACAGAAACAGCCCTGAGTCCCCGAGGGCTCACTGAAGAGCAGTCTTTGTGGGACAGTGTAGTAGGAAGGCAGCCTCTGAGAGGTGGAGGGACCGGGATTTAGTATTCGATGTCCACTGTGTCCTTTTTCTCAGAAAGAGCTGGGAATGTTTGCTCAGAGCTCCGTCGCCCTTCACCATCAGTTCAACCCCAAGTTTCAAACCTTGTTCCAACCCTGTAATTTGATGGGAGCTATGCAGCTCATTGAAGACTTCAGTACACACGTCAGCGTTGACTGGAGTCCTCGCAAAACTGTGAAGAAGACTGGTAAGGAACAGTTGTTAACTTCAAGGTGTTTCTTGCAGTGAGACTTGGAGTCTTATCCCACAGAACATTTCCAGGGATGATTTCCTAGGAAGGAAGATCATAGGATATTCATAGTTCTTTGCTTCTGACTTTTATCCTCCGTTTGTACTTACTTTTGAGGTTCTAGAATTACATGGTAATATTTGGGCTTAGGTAAGGCATGGAGGCAGTGGGCAGCAGGGTAGCGAGTGAAAGAAAGAAATGTGGAGTCAGAGCTAAGAATTGGACTTGAATGATAAGGGCTTAAACGTAAGCAGTGAGATCCCCATAGACGGGGTGGTTACGATGGATGTTTAGTGGTAAAGTTTGATCATGTTTTGATTTTTCTTTAAGATCAGCTCATTCCCATAGTGATTATAGGTTAGGTATGTGCAGTTTGAAATGTTGATGTGAGAGTTAGGCACAATGTTTTTAAGAAATTTGCAAGTTTCATTTCTATTTGCATTATGTTGGTAATTTTTCAGAAAATATTTGCTGTTCCCTGTAACCAAGTGTTTGCTTCTTTTTTTCTTTCTCTCTCTCTCTTTTTTTTTTTTTTAAATTAAAAATTTACTCATTTGTTGTAGAGGCACAGTTGCAGAGAGAGGGAGAGATAGAGGTTTCCAACCACTGGTTCACTCCCTTAATGGATGCAATGGGAGGAGCTGGGCCTGTCCAAAGGCAAGAGCCGGAGCTTCTTCTGGGTCTCCCACGTGGGTGCAGGGGCCCACGTACTTGGGCCACATTCTTCTGCTTTCCCAAAGCATTAACAGAGAGCTGGATCATAAGAGGAGCAGCTGGGACATGAACTGTTGCCCATCTGGGCTGCTGGTGTCAAAGGCAGAGGCTTAACCTACTATGCCACAGTGCTGGCCTCCAGTGTTTGCTTCTGATTTGTTTCCTGATTTAGCCAAGTATTTGGAGTTTATTTTCTATTGGGCTTGTCTTTGGATTTGATTTAAAATCTCTGAACCTTATCATTAAATTGGATATGTGAGTGGTCTTCAAAAATTAATGGAATATCTATTATGAAAAGACAACAAGATTTCAGAATATTTTTCATGAAATGAATTTATTTTTTTAAAAGTTGATTTATTTATTTGAAAGTCAAAGTTTACAGAGACAGAGGGCAAGACAGATTTTCCACTGTTGGTTTACCTCCCAGATGGCCACAACAGCCAGGGCGGGGTATGGTCAAAAGTCACCTTAAGGAGCTTCTCCATGTCTCCCACGTGGGCAGCAGGGTTCCTAAATGCTTGGGCCAACCTCTGCTGCTTTTCCCAGGTCATTATCAGAGAGCTGCATCAGAAGTGGAGCAGCTGGGACATGAAATGGTACCCATAGTGTGTTAAGAGTTTGCATAGAGGGCCTGGCACTGTGGCACAACAGGTTAACGCCCTGGCCTGAAGCGCCGGCATCCCATATAGGCACCAGTTCTAGTCCCGGCTGCTCCACTTCCAATCCAGTTCTCTGCTATGGCCTGGGAAAGCAGTAGAAGATGGCCCAAGACCTTGGGCCCCTGCCCCCATGTGGGAGACCTGGAAGAAGCTCCTGGCTCCTGGCTTTGGATCAGCACAGCTCCGGCTGTTGCGGCCAACATCCAACTTTGACTTTCTAATAAATAAATAAATCTTTATTAAAGAAAAAAGAGTTTACATAGAAAAGAATAAGAATCAACTTTTACTGGCATCAAATCCCTTTAGGCATGGGGTCAGCGCCATGGCTCACTTGGTTAATCCTCCGTCTGTGGCAACGGTATCCCAGATGGGCGCCGTGTTCTAGTCCCAGTTGCTCCTCTTCCTGTCCAGCTCTCTGCTGTGGCCTGGGAGGGCAGTGGAGGATGGCCCAAGTGCTTGGGCTCCTGCATCTGCATGGGAGACCAGGAAGAGGCACTGGGTTCCTGGCTTCGGATTGTCACAGCACCGGCCATGGTGGCCATTTGGGGAGTGAACAACGGACGGAAGACCTTTCTCTCTGTCTTTCTTTCACTGTCTATAGCTCTACCTGTCAAATAAAAAAAAATCCCTTTAGGCATGTATGAGATTGGGAAAGACTGGAAATTTTGGGGGTGGAGGGTGGATAGGTGGGAGAGGATCAGATTAGACAAAGGCAGCTCTACCTAAACGCAGATGTGCATTCACAACGTTTTGTGAAGCCCTCCTGTGTCCTAGAATTCCGTTTATCACAGGTATTTCTTTTTTTTTTTTCTTCCTTCCTTTCTCTCTCTCTCTCTCTCTCAGATTTACTTATTCATCTATTCGAAAGGCAGAGTTACTGAGAACAGAGGCAGAGAGAGAGAGAAGTTGTCCATCTGCTGGTTCATTCCCCAAATGGTCGCCAGGAGCTTCTTCCACATCTCCCATTTGGGTGCAGGGGCCCAAGGACTTGGGCCATCCTCCACTGCTTTCCCAGCCCATTGCAGAGAGCTGTATTGAAACAGGAGCAACCAAGGCCTGAACTGGCGCCCATATGGGATGCTGGCACTGCAGGCGGTGGCTTTACCTGCTACACCACAGTGTTGGCCCCTATTTCTTCTTACAGCTTCTGAATTTCCCTGTTTGCCAAAGCAAGTGGCTTGGATCCTGGCCACCAGCAAGGTTTTCATGTATCCAGAGCTACTTCCGGTGTGTTCCCTGAAGGCAAAGAATCCCAAGCATAAGATGACCTTCACCAAAGCTGAAGACAAGTAAGTGTTGACGTGGGGAATTGGAACAGGCTGTCCCCAGGAAAATACAGAATTCTTGAGGTGCTGAGGAAGAAAGTAGGACGGGTAGACTAAGTCATGGACACAAAAGGAAGCACAGGTGCATGGTTTATAGTGTGTGCCAGATACTGCTCTTCCCAGGGAGTGGCATGTGCATTTTTGAAACATTTAAATCACCGTATCTTGTATTTATTTATTTATTTATTTATTTATTTATTTTTCCGTCCCAGGTTAGCTGCCGGCCCCCCCGGCCTCTGCGGAGGGGCGGCACCCCTGCCGCTTTCCCTGCTTCCGCAGAGGAGCGGCACACTGCCGGCCGGCTCTCAGGGGTTCCTCAGATGTTTCCCTCAGATGTTCCTCTGTATCTTGTATTTATTGTTTTTTTTTTTTTTTTTTTTTAAGATTTATTTATTTATTGGAAAGTCAGAGTTACACAGAGAGAGGAGAGGCAGAGAGAGAGAGAGAGATCTTCCATCTGTTGGTTCCTCAATTGGCCTCAATAGCCAGAGCTGTGCCAACCTGAAGCCAGGAGCCTGGAGCTTCTTCTGGGTCTCCCACATGGGTGCAGGAGCCCAAGGTCTTGGGCCATCTTCTACTGCTTCCCCAGGTCATAGCAGAGAGCTGGATTGGAAGTGGAGCAGCCAGGTCTCGAACCAGTGCTCATATGGGATGCTGGTGCTTCAGACCAGGGTGTAAACCTGCTGTGACACAGCACCGGCCCATGATGGAAACCTCTCAACCAGGGGGCTCAGCATCGCTTCAATTCACCATAGCTGAGTGCTGGCCAGGGGAAAGGGTGTCTTGCCAGAAGGCAGCTACAGTCTTGGGGAAAGAAAGTCCAAAGAAGCCTTTTTCTCGTATCTTGTATTTATTGTAATACCAATCATGTAATGCTATTGAAGAAAATTTTTCCAAAGAAAAAACTTTTTATCTGTTTTCCTACTGTGCCCAGATATATTTTTTCTTTTTTTTTCAAAGATTTATTTATTTGAAAATCAGAGTTACACAGAGAGAGGGGAGGAGGAGAGGCAGAGAGAGAGAGAGAGAGAGAGAAAGTCTTCCATCCGATGGTTCACTCCCCAGATGGCTGCAATGGCCGGAGCTGCATCAATCCCAAGCCAGGAGCCAGGAACTTCTTCTGGGTCTCCCATGTGGTTGCAGGGGCTCATGCACTTGGGCCCTCTTCCACTGCTTTCCCAGGTGCATTAGCAGGGAGCTGAATCAGAAGTGGAGTAGGCGGGACTCACACCTGTGCCTATATGGGATTCTGGCACTGCAGGCGGTTGCTCAGCCTACTGTGTACACCAGTACCTTAACCATAGTTAGTAGCCCTACAATAGAACTGTTATGGGCATTTTTGTGTGTGTGTGTGTGTAAGATTTTTAAAATTTATTTGAAAGGCACAGTTAGAGAGAGGGAGAGATAGATATTCCATCTGCTGGTTCACTCCCCAAATGGCTGCAGTGTCCTGGCCTGGGCCAGGCTGAAGTCAGGAGCCTGGAGCTTCCTCCGTGTCTCCTACATAGGTACAGGGCCCATGCACTTTGGCTATCTTCCACTGCTTTTCCAGGCACATTAGCAGGGAGCTGGATTGGAACTGGAGCAGCCAGGTCTAAAACTCGTGCCCGTATGAGATGCTAACATTGCAGGCAGGGGCTTAACTTGCTATGCCACAATGCTGGTGCCCTGTTTTGCTGTACTTAGTAAGGTTTCACCAAGGAACGTTGTGCATGGAGGTTTTTAAAATATTTTGAGTGGGTTAATTTCCATGAGTAAGATGGCTTGAGAAAGATTCTAAACATGATTATGTTTCTTTATGCATATTACCAGACTGCCATCAGGAAATCTATACGTTTGTAGCCGAAATTGTGTATGTTTTATTAGGAGGTAGTGCTGGTGCTGGTTTAATTCTGTAATCTGGTACTTGTTTATTTGTTAAATGTTTGTTTTATTAGAATTGCCCTCTTTTCTTTCATCTTTGAACTATCTTTGTATTTTCAGTGAAAAACTCATCATGATCTGATTTTTTAAATGTTTTATGTCTGGTTTATTCCCACTTGGGAATTTCTTTTTGTTTTTTATTCACAGTAATTAATAGCATTCACAAATGTGTGTAATTTTCTGTTGAGTAGCTTCAACTTGTACAAGAACTGGATAGAAAAAAGTAGATTGTTAAATGTGTGGGAAGGGTTTCAGACGAAAGAAGTCAGGTTTCGTGTCATTGGTCCTTTCTCAGTTTGTTAGCTTTAGGACTGAAGCATTTTGAGGGGACTGAGTTTCCTAAGCCACTCATCAGCAAGTATCTCCTGACCTGCAAGACTGCCCACCAACTGACGGTGAGAATCAAGAACCTCAACATGAACCGAGCTCCTGACAACATCATTAAGGTGAGTGCTTCCTGCTCCACCTCGGTACTCCACCTGGGCGCCCTGCGTGTGCTGGGCTCCGTGTCAAGAGGGATTTCCTTTTACCTAAGGCTGATTCCTCTCACCGAGCACTGGGCTAATTCCCCTCCTGCTGCCTTTTCAGGGACATTGACCCAGTGTTCTCTCCTGGAGCACCTTCCTTCCCTCCCTCTCTAGGGGTATTCCCCCGAATACAGGGCACTTCGAAGTGTTTTGACAAAAGTGCATAGCTTTTTTTTTTTTTTTAAAGATCTATTTTATTTATTTGAAAGAGTTACAGAGAGAGGTAGAGCCAGAGAGAAATGTCTTCCATTTCCTGGTTCACTCCCCAGAAGGGCGCAACGGCTGGAGCTGGTCTTATCAGAAGCCAGGAGCCAGGAGCTTCTTCTGGGTCTCCCACCTGGGTGCAGGGGCCCAAGCACTTGTGCCATCTTTTTTACTGCTTTCCCAGGCCACAGCAGAGAGCAGCCAGGACTTAACGGGGGCCCATATGGGGTGCTGGTGCTGCAGGCCAGGGCTTTAACCTGCTGCGCTACAGCACTGGCCCCAGCTTTTTTTTATTATCGTTTTCCATAAACTTTGAAGACCCTTCATATAAAATTGTTCAAGTGTTGAAAAATTTTATATATGTATGTTTCTCCCTAGCTGCTGTTTTTCTTTTACTCTAATCTTTAAAGGCTGGACAGAATTCCATTTATATCTTTCTATTTAACTCTTTTTTTTTTATTTAGATATTTCTATCAAAGTTAGTATTTAAACAGTCAAGTTTTAAATGATTTTATGGGTCCAGTAATTCTATACGGTGAGTATTCGGTGCCAGGATTAAGATACCACGTGGGATAACCACAAATAATATTGCAGTGTCTGTGTTCAAGTTCTGGCTCCACTTCTGATTCCAACTCTGAGTGGAAGGCAGCACGTGATGGCTTAAGTATTTGTATCCCTGCCACCTAAATGGGAGACTCAGATTGAGTTCTAGGCTCCTGTCTTTTTTTTTTTGACAGGCAGAGTGGACAGTGAGAGAGAGAGAGACAGAGAGAAAGGTCTTCCTTTGCCGTTGGTTCACCCTCCAATGGCCGCCGCGGCCAGTGCGCTGCGGCCGGTGCACCGCGCTGATCCGATGGCAGGAGCCAGGTGCTTCTCCTGGTCTCCCATGGGGTGCAGGACCTAAGCATTTGGGCCATCCTCCACTGCACTCCCGGGCCACAGCAGAGGGCTGGCCTGGAAGAGGGGCAACCGGGACAGAATCTGGCGCCCCAACCAGGACTAGAACCTGGTGTGCTGGCGCCGCAAGGTGGAGGATTAGCCTACTGAACCGCTGCGCCGGCCAAGGCTTCTGTCTTGAGATTCTCCTAGCCCTAGCTGCTTGGCCGTTTGGTGAGTGAAATAGTGGGTAGAAAAATCTTTGTCTCATTCTTTTCCCTGCTTTTCAAATAAAAATTCTTAAAAATTAATTTTCTTTCTTGCTTTGCTTTCTTTTCTTTTTTTTTTTCTTTTTTTTGCTAACCAGGGTGTGTTAGATGGCATATTCACTTCCATATCTGGGTATTTTGGATTTAGATATTATTTATTAACTTTAAACAAAGTGGAAGATGTAGCTCTGTCTGCATTCTTTGTTAAGATTTATTTATGCCGTGCCACAGCTCAGTAGGCTAATCCTCCACCTGCAGCGCCGGCACACCGGGTTCTAGTCCCAATTGGGGCACCGGATTCTGTCCCGGTTGCCCCTCTTCCAGGCCAGCTCTCAGCTGTGGCCCGGGAGTGCAGTGGAGGATGGCCCAAGTGTTTGGGCCCTGCACCCGCATGGGAGACCAGGAGAAGCACCTGGCTTCCAGCATTGGATCAGCGTAGTGCACCGGCCGCTGCTGCCACTGGAGGGTGAACCAACAGCAAAGGAAGACCTTTCTCTCTCTCTCTCTCCCTCACTGTCTACTTTGCCTGTCAAAAAAAAAAAAAAAAAAAAAAAAGAGAGATAAAATGTAACATAAATTTCTGTTCTACTCTCTATATTTCTTACATCCAGAATTGTAGATGGAAACATTTTTGAGAAGGTTTTAAGGTTTATTTATTTATTTGAAAGGAGGAGCATCTTTTAGGTGCCTTAAAATACATTCATGATTTTGCAGGTTTAGTAGACTTTATCCTCCTCTGCCTGACTTAGCAAATTCCATTCCATTAGTATTCATCTGTTGTTCCTGCTCTAGAAAATATTTTTTATCCCTGTTGTGTGTTGTTTTTTGTGTAACATCTTTTTTTTTTTTTCATTTAAATATTGATATATGTATTTAAAAGGCATAGTAATAGAAAGGAGAGACAAAGACAGATCTTCTGTCTTCTAGTTCACTCCCTAAATGGTCACCATGGCTGGAGCTTGGCCATTCCAAAGCCAGAAGCCTGGACTTCGGCTGCATTTCCCACAGGGTTGGCAGGGGTCCAAGCAATTGAGCCATCTTCTATTGCTTTCCTAGGGACAATAGCAGGGAGCTAGATGGGAGCAAAGCTGCTGGTACTCAAACTAGCAGTCTGATATGGAATGCTGGCATCTCAAGTGACAGACAAACCCTTCGTGCCACAACCACGAATACTTTGTGCTTTTTTCACTTAAAATATGATTACTGATCTACTTGATGTATCTCCCACTGGTCTGCACACTACTTGAGAGGAGGAATGGCTTCTCCTGGCTGTGTGTCGGGGTTTAAGCTTTGCACATAGAAAGGACCCCAGCATATGCTAGATGAGTAGATAATTTTTGTCAGTGGTTTAAGTTCAATTCTTTTCATTTACCCTTAAAGCTGAACCTTAGTCTTTTTTCCCATCATTTGCTTAAAAGGAAGCTTCCATTGTCCAAGATGAGGGTTGAGGCACTCTGTATTGTACCTGCTGAGTAGGAGCAAAAAAAAATTTTTTTTTTTAAGATTTATTTATTTGAAAGGCAGAGTTACAGAGAGGCAGAGAGAGGGGGTGGGTTTCTACCTGCTGCTTCACTCCGCAGATGGCCACAATGGCCAGAACTGGGCCGACCCAAAGCCAGGAGCAATGAACTTCTTCCAGGACTACCATGTGGGTGCAGGGGCTCAAAGATCCGGGCCATCTTCCACATCTTTCCTAGGCCGTATCAGAGAGCTGGATTGGAAATGGAGCAGCCGGGAAACGAACGGGAGCACATATGAGATGCCGGCACTGTAGGCGGTGGCTTTACTTGCTAGACCACAGTGCCAGCCCTGGGAGCAAATCTTATGGAAGATTACTCTGACCTGCTTTTTTTGTCTGTGACCTAAACTCTCCCCTTCCTGGAAATTAGAATGGAGATCCTTAGTCCAGAAGTTTTGAGCAATTTAAAAGTCTTTATTAGAGATTAGTTTAAATTGAAATCCCAAATCACTAAGCATATGCTTTTTTAAAGTGTATGGATGGGCCGGCGCTGGGGCTCACTAGGCTAATCCTCCGCCTTGTGGCACGGGCACACCGGGTAGTAGTCCCGGTCGGGGCACCGGATTCTGTCCCGGTTGCCCCTCTTCCAGGCCAGCTCTCTGCTGTGGCCAGGGAGTGCAGTGGAGGATAGCCCAAGTGCTTGGGCCCTGTACCCCATGGGAGACCAGGAGAAGCACCTGGCTCCTGCCATCAGATCAGCGTGGTGCGCCGGCCGCAGCGCACCGACTGTGGCGGCCATTGGAGGGTGAACCAACAGCAAAGGAAGACCTTTCTCTCTGTCTCTCTCTCTCACTGTCCACTCTGCCTGTCAAAAAATAAATAAATAAATAAAGTGTATGGATATTCATGTGTGCCTGTATATCTCAAACAGCAGGCCATGTTTCTTGGAGGAAGGTAAGGTGTGTCTTGTTTCTTCCTGCCCAGTTTTATAAGAAGACTAAGCAGCTGCCTGTCTTACTGAAGTGCTGTGAGGAGATCCAGCCACATCAGTGGAAGCCACCGGTGGAGAGGGAAGAACACCGCCTCCCCTTCTGGCTAAAGGTACAGCCCTCCTCCAAGGCTGTTGGGAATGGAAGGACACAGAATTCTGGGAGAAATTTCCAGGGCTCCTTTAAGCTTCTAACATTTTACTAATAGATAGAACTAGGACTTCAGCAATCTTCCTCATTTCTTTTCCCTTGTCAGTTTTCTGCCTTTCCCCCAGGTGAGTTTCTAGAACCTTTTCAAAACTATAGGTATAATAATAATTTGCTGAAGAAAATTCAGCAACTAGTTTCTAGAGCATATAATTAGAATGTTGTCTTTGTAGAAAGTTGGTATGCGGAAAAACCCATCTTGGAAAGGTCTCCTGAGCCTGTATTGCAGAGGTCCCTAATCTAGAAAGCTGTGTTCTTTGTCGCGAACTGTTACACGCGCGGGATCAGAGTGTTCTTGCTCCCCACAGGCCAGTCTGCCATCCATCCAGGATGAACTGCGCCGCCTGGCTGGTGGTGCGAGAGAGGCAGGCAACGGGACTGGAACCGCTGAGATCGGCGCAGAACAAGGACTGGAGAAAAACGGAGCAGAGCTGGGAAGTGAAACTCAGTACCCACTGCTGTTGCCCAAAGGTGTAGTCCTGAACCTAAAGCCAGTTGCCAACCGGTTTTCCAGGAAGGCTTGGAGTCAGAAGCGGTCATCAGTGCTGAAGCCCCTCCTTATCCGACCTAACCCCTCTCTCCAGCCTGGCTTCAACCCTGGGAAAACTCCAGCCCGGTCAACGCAGTCAGAAGCCCCTCCCAGCAAAATCGTGCGGATCCCTCACCTGATCCATCCGGCCACTGGCACACCAGCAGTTCCCGGTGTCTCTCCGCTGGGGATCAATGGGACTGATAGTTTTGATTCGTCGACAGCACTGCCTACTATGTCCTTGGAGGCCAGGCCCAGCTTCCCTCTGTCTGATAGCCAGACTGTGCTCTCCTCTGCCCCCGTGCCCAAGATAATGCTGCCTTCACTTGGTCCATCCAAGTTCAGAAAGCCATGTGTTAGACGGAGATCCTCAAAGCGAAAGGGTTCCAAGTCTTCTCCCTGTCTGAAAACCGCCCCCTTAATCTCCCCCCCACCAGTTATCTTTACTGTTCCTGCCACCACCGTGAAGGTTGTGAGCCTGGGCAGTGGCTGTAACGTGATCCAGCCTGTTAATGCAGCTGTGGCCCAGAGCCCCCAGACCATTCCCATCACCACCCTCTTGGTTAACCCTACTTCCTTCCCCTGTCCACTGAACCAGCCCCTCGTGGCTTCCTCCATCTCACCCTTAATTGTTTCCAGCAACTCTGTGAATCTTCCTGTACCACCCACCCCTGAAGATGAGGCCCATGTGAATGTGGACATTGCTTGTCCTTTGGTTGAAGGGCAGAGTGCCTTTCAAAGCCCAGTGCCCAAATTGGAACCCCAGGAACTATCTCCTGTGTGTGCAACTGTCTTCCCCAAAGAGGAGCACAGCCCAGGGCCTCCAGTAGCAAACAGAGAAAGCCAGGAAGGACTGTCAGAGAACTGTGCCTATTGGACTGTTGTGAAAACAGAGGAGGGGATACAAATGCTGGAGCCTCTGCCTCCGCGCCTCCAGGAACATCTGAACTCTGCCCCCGGGGGTCTGGATGGAACGGTCAAGGTGGAACCTGAAGATGCCGGGGAGGAAGTCTCCAGTGGACCCCCTGTGCAGGACGTTTGTGATGGAGTCAAAGAAGAGCACTCCGTGGAAATGGACATTGTCTCTGCAGGGGAGGGGTCGAGCAGTGCCAGGGACGTGAAGAAACAGACAGTGATACGGAAGGAGGGGGAGAAGGGCCCACCAGCTAAAGCCCCTTCAGCCTCTCAGGAGCCTGCTGATGAAGGGAACTCTGGGGAAGTGAGCAGATCGCCACAGAAGGCCTTGTCCTCCGTGGACCCTGAAATGCTGCATAGCAGCACCCCTGGGAAGCCCGAAGACTCCTCCACCGTCGATGGGCAGTCAGCGGGGATCTCTGCTGGGCCAGAAACTTTTTTTTTTTATAATACACATTTTCCATGAATTATAGGCCACACTGTGTGGATTTTTGAATTCTGTATGCAGGAAACGTGGTGTGAGAGGTAAGCCTGGCTCAGCCGAGTCAGCTCCATGTCTGTGCAGTGCAAGTGCACCACGTGGCATGACCAGGAGGTAGCGGCCACTGCACATTGAGAAAGGAAGCTACAGAGTGAGCGCGGCTCTGTGCTGGTCTTGCCACAGGCTATGTCTTCATGAGGAACATGCACTGTTTTCTGAGATAAACAGGGCACGGGGCCTCACACAGGACAGTCAGGTGAGAACAGTTCAAACACCTGCGCGAACTTATCTAGCCGTCAGCGCAATAAAAGGAGAAGTTCCTGAGCGTCTCTTCTCTGCAGAGGCGCCACGTGAACCATGTGTTCTGGGGAAGGGCGGACGCAGGGGAGAGCCAGTAGATCCCCTCCGGGATCCTCCAGCGGCTTTACAGCCACCCACTGTAGATGGGAAGGCCACGTGAGACCCAGCCCTCGGCACCGGCCTGACCGACTCACCTGGTGGGGCTCTGCTGGCCTCCACTTCCGGAGCCGTCTTGGGGGAGGCGGAGGTGGAAGGGGGCTTCTCGGCAGCGTCTCCAACCGCCTCATCAGTCATTTCGTCCTCTTTCTGCAGGCTCTCCATCCCCTCGGCTTCTTCCTCTTCCTCCTCTTCCGGCTCGGAGTTCTCCTCCTGGGAGTTCTCTTCCTCAGACTCCCCCTCCTGACTCATGCGCCTTTCAGATGCCAGCCAAGTCAGCTTCTCCATAGTTTCCTGCAACCCCCAAAGAGCACTCACAATGGCTCCGGCAGGCTCACTACGGCTCCCAGCTCACAGAGCTGTACCGGGGCTCCTACGATAAAGAGCGGGCCCCCACACCTGTGAGGAGCAGCAGGAGTCCCAGGATGTAGGAACCTGGTGTGAGAGGTAAGTCTGGCTCACACCTGCTTTCCCAGGCCACAGCAGAGAGCTGGACTGGAAGAGGAGCAGCCGGCACTAGAATCGGCGCCCATATGGGAATGCCGGCGCCACAGGTGGAGGATTAACCTAGTGTGCCACAGCGCTGGCCCCGCCAGCAATTTCTATCTTTTCCTGAGGTTTCCTTCTCATCCTCCAGCCCTAGGTGCATCACCTCTCTTCTCCTGCAAATTCACCTTCATTACGATTTGAGTGAAATATTAGAAAACATATCTTTCAGTATGGGCTCCTTGATGGAGCAGGTTAATCCTCCGTCTGCAGTGTTAGTATCCCATATGGGCGCTGGTTCTAGTACTGGCTGCTCCTATTCTGGCTCTCTGCAGTGCACTGGGAAGGCAGTGGAGGATGGCTCAAGTGCTTGGGCCCCTGCACCCGTGTGGGAGGCCCAGGGTTAACTCCTGGCTCCTAGCTTTTGATCATTGCAGCTCCGGCCATTGGGCCATCTGGGGAGTAAACCAATGAAGGAAGACCTTTCTCTGTGTCTCTCCCTCTCACTGCGGTTCTACCTCTCAAATAAAATTTTTTAAAAAACAAAACAAAACATAGTTGCCACTTAAATCAGTTTCATGGCTGGGGTTGTGGTACTGGGGTTAAGCTGTGCCTGATGCCAGAATCCCATATTGGAGCACCAATTTGATACCTGGCTGCTCCACTTCTCATCCAGCCCCATTCTGCTGCTGCCTAAGAAGGCAGCAGCAGATGGTTCACGTTCTTGGGCCCTTTCCACCCATGTGGGAGACATAGATAAAGTGCCTGGCTTCTGGCTTCAGCTTGGCTTAGTCCCAGGTGTTGCAGCTATTTGGGGAGTGAACCAGAGGATGGAAGACCTCTTTGTGTGTGTCTCTGTCTCTGATGTTCTACTTTTGCAATAAATGAATTTTTAAAAAGAAATGGTACGATGGGCCAATGCTGTGGCATAGCAGGTAAAGCTGCTCCCTGCAGTGCTGGCATCCCATATGGGCACTGATTGGAGTCCTGGCTGTTCCACTTCTGATTCAACTCTGCTGTGGTCTGTGAAGGCAGTAGAAGATGTCCCAATTCCTTGGGCCCCAGCACCTACATGGGAGGCTCAGAAGAAACTCCTGGCTTTGGATTGGCCCAGCTCCGGCTGTTGCAGCCATTTTGGGAGTAAACCATTGGATGGAAGACCTCTCTATCTCTGCCTCTGCCTTTCAGTAACTCTGACTTTCAAATAAATAAATTGATTAAAAAATACATATATATGGGCTGGTACTGTGGTATAGTGGGTAAGGCCACCGCCTGCAGTGCCGGCATCCATATGGGCACTGGTTCAAGTCCCGGCTTCTTCATTTCCGATACAGCTCTCTGCTATGGCCTAGGAAAGCAGTAGAAGATGGCCCAAGTCCTTGGGCCCCTGCACCCATGTGGGAAACTGGAAGAAGCTCCTGACTCCTGGTTTCAGATTGGCACAGCTCCAGCCCTTGTGGCCAGTTGGGGAGTGGACCAGTGGATGGAGGACCGACCTCTCACTCTCTCTCTATCTCTGCCTCTCCTTCTGTCTCTCTGGAATTCTGACTTTCAAATAAAATAAATAAATCTTAAGAAAAAAAATAAAAAAGAAATGGTTCGAAAGTCCTCCTCAGACATTTTTGTTGTTAATTGTTAATGCTTATTACAGCTTTTCCTGTATTTCAAGGGACCCATTGGCTTCCCTGATCCAGCCTAGAGCGAGACCAAGGCCACTGGGTAACTTGTTGGCCAGCATCATCAGTGAAATGGGCAGAGTCAGACATGGTGGCCAGACCTGGGCTCCTTCAGTGTGGCCACACTGGACCAGTGGGAGGGACTGGAGGTGAGTTTTCTGCTAGGGAATGCAGTTAGGTGTTGGGGTGGGGTGGTTGGCTGTGGCATGGCCTCTTGCCTGTCTCCCCCCAGGGCTCTTTGGGGATACATACCGTGCACAGGCTCGGGAGCGCTCTTTACACCGGGTGTGCAGTGACCCGTGGTAGCCCTGGCGGATGCTCTCCAAGGGGAGATGTGGAAAGGGCAGGCCTTCTGTGGCACAGAGTGAGGATTTGCAGGGGGTTGGAGGATGAGGGACCAGGGCACGAGAGCCATGGCTCAGGTGGACCACAGCGCTGCACAGAGGTGCCGACTGGGGAAGCAGCTTAGGGAGAGGCTGGGAGGCTCCGGAGTGGAGCTGCACAGGCTCTGGGTGTCTCAGCTGGGCTTCTCCTGGGAGGCTGTTGCTCAGGATCCCAGCCCTGGTTTCGCCTCCTCAAGGGGTTAACAAAGTGGAAAGAGACTTGGCTCTTGCCAGGAGCCCCTGGCAGTTGAGCAAATGCCATTGTGTGTGCTCTGTGTCTTGGGCCCTGGATTTGAGGCTGTTTTGTTCCCAGCCCAAATCAGTCCCTTTCTTGCCAGTCTCTTCCCAGCTGCAGCTTGGCCCGGAGCCAGCTTCCACTCCCGGCCTTGGGCAGTGAGTCCATGAGCTGTCTGGAAGAGTCCAGCTGGTTGGTAGCTTTCCCTGGCTGAGGATACCAGGAAAAGTGTGTTGCAAAATATCCTCCAGTGAGGAGAAAGACAGAGGTAGGTAGCTTCAGTAACTACAAGCTTCTTGTATAATTAGGTGAATGCCAGCTTTTGTGGCATCATGATGTTCAGAGTCCACTGTTGGTAGGTATACGTTCAGCATGTATGCCGTGTTGTTTCACAGCAGTTAAGCTTTGGTACGTCATGCTGGCATCCCTTACTGGAATGCCTGTTCAATTTAGCTACTCTGCTTCCTCTCCAGGCCCTCTGCTAATGCATGTGGGGAGGTAATAGATGGTGGCCAAAGTTCTTTGGGCTCTGACACCCATGTGGAAGACCCAGAGTGTTGGTTCCCTGCCTCAGCCCATATGGCCATTTGGAGAGTGAAGCAGTGCATGGAAGATCTCTTTTATTTCCCCCTTTGTCACTCTTCAAATAAATCTTAAAAACAAATCTTATGGTGCACTGTGTGTAGCACAGATGATAAAAACTACCATTTTGGTGTGTAATTTATTGTTTATGACGGGTGTTTTATTAGAACTTTCTCTGAATCAGAACTCACTACATATGTGCCATTTAGAACTGTAGAACTGAGGAAGCTGGACTCAGAAATCCTGCCTGATGCTCTATAGCACTAAAAAGCAGTGTTGGGATTGAAATTCTTAACAACTTTTAAGCAGAGTCTGTAGTACACATTAGGGATAATAAGGAGAGTAAAGACCTAGAGACCACAGCACGTGAGGAAACACGCAAGGAACTGGATTGGAAGGTGTCTGGGAATAATAGCTGTCTATAAATATCATGATTTTAGGTAGTTTGGTGGAAGAGGATCTTGTTAACTTTGGAAAGAACTGGCACCAGCAAGCACAGGTGCCAGGAAGACAGCTTCTGATTCCATGGAAAGAACTAAATTCTAGAACTGCCTCATAGCGGCCAGATGGTCTCATATACACAAGTTGGATCTTTGTAGCTCAGGCACGTTCTAGAAAGGACGTCTCCAAGGCATTGGAATAGATGTCTCTGAAGTACTTTTTCCCTCAAAAGTCCAGGATTCTGTGGCTGGTACTGTGGCGTAGTAGGCTAAGCCTCCGTCTGCGGTGCCGACATCCCATACACGTGCTGATTAGAGTGCCGGCTGCTCCACTTCTGATCTGGCTTCCTGCTAATGGGCCTGGAAAGACTGGAAGGTGGCCCAAGTGCTTGGACCCTGCACCAACATAGGAGACATGGAAGAATCTTCTAGTTCCTGGCTTTGGATCGGTTGAGCTCTGGCTGTTATGGCCCTTTGGTGAGTGAACCAGTGGATGTAAGACCTCTTTCTCTCTGCCTATATTTGTAACACTCTCATATAAAGAGATAATGTTTAAAAAAATTACTGTGACTGCTGCTTGCTGCTCTGTGCCTCCAAGGTCATGGATAATTGAGGGATGGTGTATCGCCAACTGTTAGAGTGCTTGAAATCAAGTGCTTTCTACAACGTGAACAAGT